GGGAATGAAATATGTTAATTTTTATTATATTGAGTTCGCAGTTTTTCCTGTTCCCGATTCACTCGAAGTCGTATAACTTTTTGTTCCTGTTGAACCAGCTTCCTGAAAATCAATAGCGTCCGTTCTTAATGTCCAACGTACCCGTATACCAAATTTCAACACAATCGGCCACTTTTAAAAAGAGTTAGAGCGCACACGGACGGACGGACGGACGACAATACAAAACTATAAAGGATCTGAGGATCCTTAAAAACAGAATATCTCCCTACTTAAATACGAGGTTAAATATATCAATGGAATGGACATGAAGTATAATTAAGATCGAACTTCAGGTAAGTTCATTTGATCCTTTAAATACTATGAAAAGCGATCTAAGAAGAAAATCCTTAGTTAAGAAATGGGACAATATAACTACATTTGGCGCAAAAAACAATTGAAAAAGTATATTAAAGTACAAGTGTCATTTGACGAAGATTGTCGCACGAGGTAGTTTGCCGCATAAGCCGCGTAGCGGCGAATGCGGCAAAAGCCGAGTGCGACAAGTAGACAAATGACACGTGTGCTTTATACTATTTTTTCTATTTCGACTTTTATTTTAAATAATAAATTAAACAAATTATAAATATTGCCTTTAGGCGTTGTTAGGTAATTTTAAACTATCATTCAGTGTATGTTGGTAATAGACACAATTCATTTATTTTCACGTTGGCTAACCTGATTCCTGTATTTTCAAACTAATTATTTGGTCATAATTCCATTTTGCGGCAGTTATGATGAATACGGATGACAAACACGTCTCTTGTACCCCACCAGAGATCCAAGTGAGATTGCCAATGAAGCGACGTTAAATTTACTGCCTGTAAAATCGAAAGTAAAGTACGAGGAGTACAAAATTTTTGAAAACTGGCTGGCCGAGAAGGGGAGTTCAAAAAGTAAGCAAGAATGTACTGTTGGCATATTTACTAAGCTAAGTAAAAATAAAAAAAGTTCTACCCTTTGGAGTATATATTCAAAATTAATCGGAATTAATACAATCGGTCAAGTTCCTCGTACGTTATTTACAATTTACAGGTTATGTTTAGTTTTGATTTGACGGATACCGTTGACAGCAAAAAAGCGAGGGGTCCCAATCCAACAAAATAAAAAAAATAATGCGTTTCTATTTCTTTCGGCCTCATTTTTGTCTAGAAACGCACGCAAACTGGGCCAATCAAGTACGGTTTTGGTATTGTTTCCACATCGAAATAGAAAAATATATTTAAATTTACCTTTGGGTGTTCTCTGACGGGTACCAACACTTTTACAGCAACTTTCATAGGTTTCTCCCTGTAGATGTCAACATACTTGGTTTCTCTTATTGGAACTTTCCCTATGTTTTGCACTCGTGCTACCTCTGAAAAAAAATTATAGTTCCTAAACAAGTATAAATTGTGCACAAAAGCGCATTTTTTAAAACCGAAATGGCTTAGTAAATGATTGCGTTATAAGGTACTAAGCATGCTATACATATTTATCAATGATATATTTCTTCTAGGCGTCCCAATCGCCCTTTGTGAGCACCATCCTCCGACAATCTGTTCTTGAAATATAAGGAATTATTTATATCCGATCACGATAAGGAGTCAAGGAGGAGGCTATGGTTGGTAGAAATTAATTCAAGAAGAACAAAACCAGTTCCACCCCCCCAAACCCCTCTTTTGATAGATGATAGATTTTGTTGATACCTTTAATTGGAATACCATGAAAGAAAAAATGTCTACCCCCCTCCCTCGGCCACCTACTGATCTCGGAAAGGAGTCGCGCAGCAAAATTATAGTTTGTAAAAACCAATTAATTTCGATGAGACCTTTCATTAGAATACCATGACTGGTAGAACGTGTGTTCACTCCCCGACCCCTCCAATTTTCAAAAATTCTACTCGGCACCGCTAAAGGCACGCGTATGCAAATTCTGAGACCAGTTGGGTGACGCATGTTGGTTATGCACGTTTTACATTCAAAAACAGCATCTCAGGAAATAATTCATGGGGGGGGGGCTTAAGACAACGAAATTTGATGACCGACTAGCACACCTTCAAGTTATAGGCCACATATTGCAACAAATTCCAGGACTCTAGGACCATTCCCCTAAAAATAGTTCAAAACCGCAGAAGTTGGTCTGAACGAACAGACAGAACGCAAACTATAGCACATTTTTTGTAACCCTTAAAAAATGCGGGGTCAATGCATTTGAAATCACCCAATATAAATCGCTAAAAAACATCAGCTCATAATGAATGAATAAAAACAAGTGTTTTTCAAAGAGATATGGTAGAGCTGGAGACTTAATTACTACAGATTTTCCAACAGTTCATGTAGGGTGGCCAACTAAGAATGCGAGGTACTGTATCTGAGAATCTATCCATCGTAGAGGCTTGCGGTAAAAAAATTTATTACTAAAACGGCCACGAGCAAAATCTGGAAAATATTTTTAAGTTTCTGAAATGATCGCTAGGGGGCGTAACTGCAATCTAATTTTCTCAAAAAAATTAAATGCATTGGTTCGATGTTTTTTCATGAAAAAGGAGCTAAATGATGCCTAAACAAGCTCGCGAAAACAGCATCTCGATATCTTGAGATATTTTTATATGGCGCTGGCCGTCATTTCGAGCATTTACGGCGGCATTAAAAGCTTTTTTAAATCAATCCACCACATATTATATAATAAAAATAATTCCGGAAAAATTAGCTGAAAAAAATAAAATTTTGAGGGATAAAATTTTCTTTGACCTGAATTTTAGGTTAGGAACAAGATATCGAGATGCGAGCTTGTTTAGGCATCATTTAGCTACTTTTTCATGAAAAAAAAATGAAAAATGAAAGAAAACTCTTTTCAATTACCCCGAGTTTGTTAAAATCGGTTCAGTCATTTCGAAGATGCAGGGTGTTCTTTACGGAACCGTTTGACTGGACATATTTTAGATTCCAGATTGCAGTTACGACCCCTAGCGACCATTTCAGAAACTTAAAAATATTTTCCAGGTTTTTTTCGTAGCCGTTTTAGTAATAACTTTTTTTACCACAAGCCTCTATTATGGACAGGTTCCCAGATACAGTCTTCGCATTCTTATTTGGCCACCCTGTACAATTGGATAGTGATTTCGAAGGTAACAATTTCTATTATTTTTTTTTCAATCAATCCGTTTTCAGCTATGGGAACCGATCAGGCCCTTGACCAAAACAATGCTGTTTTGAAGGGCACTGGTGGAGTTATTGCTCTAACGCAAGATCCGTCATCAATGAGAAGATGCCTTATGGCAACTCCAGAGACACATTATTGAAACTATTGAAAACAAAGGACTATGATTGCTCATTGGACATGTCTATACTGTATTCATTTTAAGAAGGTAGCGGTAGCCGTAGAATGCATAGAGAAGCTTTGACCTTCACTGTGATTGGTTAAAACATGGGTCAGTATTACAAAGAAACATAGAACGACTGGTGAATTTTGTAAGGTGGTAGTTTATGTTGCCAACTAAACTTCCGAAGTGTTATTAGCTGTTATTGTCAAAGATTTATTTCTGTTCGCAATGCTGATACTATTACTATTGAAACTACGGATCTACCCTATAGACTGCTAGTTTTACATCATCGCAATGTAGGTGTGTACAGCACACATTTAATTAAAAGTGTCGTTGCATACATCACAGCAACCTCAAATAAACGAAATTTATTCCAAAAACTGTTCTCAAAAAACATCTAAATGTTTTCGAGGTTTCTCTAATCTGTAAAACCGAATGTAAGCATAAATACCATATCACCGAGAAACATGAACCTTAACTTTAACATAGAGATTTTTGAAATGACCAATGTAGTACCTCTATAATAACTACCAATAAACTCATCCTACATATTATAATAGGTAGCTAAATGATAATCGGTAATTAAAAGCAGAAAAAAGATCAACAAATCAAGCCTAATGCAAATGGCTGCTGGGCTAGTTTTATTTACCTATACGTTTGATGCCTATTTTTATTCAAATAAGACTTACCCATATCGATAAGACGCGCCGCATTTGGTAATTTGTTTTGATCAAGTAACAATTTTTCGGCCAATAATTCCCGTATGTATTCACCGGCTTTTTGGGCTGCCGGATTTTGGTCGTCATTGTCCTCGTCCATCGAATTTACTTTATCTACTGACCCCTTACGCTTAAAGTCACCTCCAGAATAATCGCCGTTTGAATCGTATTTGTCTGCCATATTTTAACTATTTATTTTAAAATATATTTTTATAACGGTAAGGATTCGTCAAAATTAGATAGCGTACCAACGAAGTTGCAGTCGAACACCAAACCGATAACGAAGTCACAAATGCGCACGCTCGTAACGTAAACACCATTCTTTTGTAGGGCCGCTTTTACAACAAGTTATAAGCGTAAGGAGTTGAAATGAACTCGTGAGATGTACACATAGTATGCGACACGCATCCATCTTCTCGCTCATTCATTAGCGTACACGTACATTCACATTTATAGGTGCGTTCGGTTACGTGATCGCGGAGTGGAGCAAAATATTTTCAGAGCATTCAGATTTATTTGTGAGTAAACGGACGATTTAGAGCAATTTCCTAAATTAAAAACACCCAAGGGGATATTCCTGGAATGTACTACCAAAGTTCTATTAATATTTGAATGTCCTGGACATTCAAGGAACATTCGGTGAACGTAAAATTACATTATTCCAGGAATGTTACCGTAAGACATTCTAGGAACACACCCCGAATATCCCATATTCCTATTGTTGGTATTTTATTTGTTGACATAATAGGCAGTATCAAGTTCATGTCGCGTACTCTGCATTACTACCTAAAGTAAGTAGTTTCCAATTTAAAAGCTTTAATATGCTGAAATCTTGCAGTGTTTTTTGTGGGAGTAAGCGCCACCTGTTGACTGCTTCGCATGTGATTTGTCAGATTTGAGATTTGTGCATTGTGTGAGTGGGGTGGCAGGTGCATTCGCTATTCTTCTCTCGTGAGTGACGTGACCTCGAACTTCGAAGTCTGAACGTCAACATTCTCCGTATTGTATTCATGTGTTATTTAGTTGATTCGCGGAATAATATTGATATCCATCAATCAGAGCGCAACGGAACGGAATATTAATTGCCGTAGCGAAAACGCGTGTTGTGTTGGTTGTTGGTGGACCAGTATTCTTCTAACCCAAACCGTAAAGGGCGCGGCGCACCCACGCTTTTAATTTAACTTAACCTACAAATCGCCGTGTGCTTTGTGGTTGTTGGAGATCGCAGTTTTTGTTGTTTTTGACAAACATCTTTTCATTTAAATAGGTATGTATATAAGTATTATAAAATTCTTTTTCTATTTTTTTATTCGTTGTTTTCCGGTGCCTGCAGTAAAGGAAATAATAATATAGTCGATGAATAACATTAATTACTTAATCCAGATTATGAATTAGAATTTGTTTACTTATGCATATTATATTACTGCATAATAATAATTATGGATTCAGAAAAAAGAAAATTATTTAATAAACTTTATCAGCGATATAAACGATCTAAACAAGTTAAGAAAGTCGAGGAGGAGCCCTCCACATCTAAAGATTTTGATTATTGTATAAATAGTGAAAGTTCCACATCCCAAAAAGACATTTGTAATGTTTCAGAGGAAAGTACAGACTCCGAATTAGACTTTTGTGATATTGCTCAAATTCCAAGTAAAATTCAGGAAGAAAATTTTGTCGAGACTGAATTTTTAAATGATAAAATTGAGGATAAATCAGAGCAGACCGGACATGGGGTACACAAGTTTACTTTAATAGAACAGTTATCAGATTGGGCCATAATTCACAACATTGATCATTTTGCTTTATCTGATTTATTGCGAATTCTAAATCAAACGATTGACATTAATTTGCCCAAAGATCCAAGGACTATTTTAAAAACCCCACGAAATACTGGTTCTCTAATTGAAAAGGTAGAACCAGGTGTCTACTTTCATTTTGGGGTAGAAAATTGTCTCATAAATTTACTAAATCGTAGAGATGTTAATGACTCGGAGGATCGGAGTAATATTTTAGAAATTTGTGTAAATGTTGATGGTCTTCCATTATCAAAAAGCTCTGGAAGTCAGTTATGGCCTATAATGATCAATCTTTTTCAAAATAAAAATATTGTGGAGGTATGTGGATTATATCAAGGTAACAAAAAACCAGAAAATGCTAATGTTTTTATGTCCAAGTTTGTAAATGAAATCATCAGTTTGATGACTAATGGTTTCACTTATAAAAGCCAAATATTTTTTGTAAAAATTAAAGCCTTTATTTGTGATGTCCCTGCAAAAGCTTTTATAAAGTGTACCAGAGGTCATAGTGGTTATATGTCTTGTTCTAAATGTGATACTGAAGGTGTGTTTAAAAAGAATCGAATTTGTTTTCCTGCAATAGAAGGATTTCATCTTCGAACAGATGCAACTTTTAGACGCAAAGAACAAGATAGCCACCACACAGATACTTCTATTTTGGAATCTATACCTAACTTGAACATGATAACATGTTTTCCGCTAGACTACATGCATTTAGTATGTCTCGGCATTGTAAAAAAATTAATTAGCAATTTGTGGTTATCAGGAAAACCACCTTACCGTTTTTCAAGCCAGCAAATTTCTGAAGTTTCTCAAAAACATTTCATTACAAAATCAAGTACCCACTGAATTTTCCAGAAAACCGAGATTGCTTTCTGATATTAAACATTGGAAAGCAACGGAGCTTAGGATGTTTTTATTTTACACTGGACCAGTGATCTTAAAAGAGAGTGTCACTAATGAGATCTACCAAAATTTTATGTCATTGCATGTTGCAGTTACACTTTTTTCAAAATCTCAAAATATTGATTATGCTGCTGAATTGTCAAAATATTTTATTCAAACATTTTCACTGCTCTATGGAGAAGAAAATATATCACATAACGTGCATAACCTTTTGCATATTGTTGATGATGTTAAAATGTTTGGCAGCCTTGAAAATTTCAGCGCTTTTCCCTTTGAAAATAATATGTTATTTTTAAAAAAATTGGTGCGCAAAGGGGATCGACCCCTTCAACAAATTGTTAATAGAATTGTAGAGCGAAACAAATGTGTTTTGGGATCTGGAAATATTAGGGCAGAATATCCTGTATTAAAATATGAACATTCTAATGGGCCACTTATTGCTAGTGTTTTTGGTATGAAACAGTTTAAAAAAATATATATCAAAAATTTTTTATTAGCTTTAGATGATTCAAACAATTGCTGTTTCATGAATGATAACAGTGTAGTTATTATTAAAAATATTGTTTCTTTAAATAATGTAGTAACAGTAATTGGTCAGAAGTATTTAGTTTTAGAAAATTTGTATAACTTGCCTTGTGAATCCTCTAAATTAAACATTTTTGTTGTGAGCAAAGAAGGTCCCATTAAATCGTGGGAGTTACCTCAAGTTCTTCACAAGTTTTTTAAACTCACATTAAACAATAAGGTGGTTGTTTTTCCTTTATTACATACAACTGCTTAATTTGTTACAGATTTGTTTATCGCTGTTAATTTTTTTCCATTATGTAATTGTTATTTTCTTAAAAACGTAAAAACAATTTCTCTCTTTTTAAAAAATGTGTAGTGTCACAAATTTTGGACCTCGTTTTGGACGTAATAGATTTAATCTCGGATTTAATATATATTTTCTATGAGGATTAAATTAAAATATTTTTTTTATTAAATTCACATTAAAATGACATTTAATTAAAAAAATTATCTGATTTAATTAAAGTCGTCATGTCATCTCCAAGAACATGGACGGTGGTGTGTTTCGAAAGTGATAATGCAGTGCAGGCAGTTCCCACCAAGTGGATAAATGGAGAAAATTGCCTGTGGCCAGTTTTACCCCAAGAAAAACTGAATAGCGCCTTAAAGCACTGTGACTTCAACAGTTGTTGGCCATCACATAAGGTGCGAATATTTCGCAATTCAACTTATGGTATGTAGACAAATTTATTTGATTCTGACAATTTTATTTCTAAAATAATTTTTTTTCTTTAAAATCTTAATTTTTAAACCCTTAAAAAACTGCAAAGTGAAAACAATTGTCCTAAAATTTAAATATTATTTAGTGAAAATGTGGACAAACTTATTGACTTTTTTTAAATAATACCGAACATAAAAGATCCACATATTTTTGTTTTTTTTAATTTGATATGTATTTATCGAGGTATTTATGTTATTTTTTCAGACGACTATTCCACGGCAAGATCTAAAGCAGCTAAAGCGGAATATAGTAGCGACTTAAATTCCGAACCTGAAACAAAAAGGCCCCGGAAAAAAAGAATTTTGAGTTCTTCCGAGTCGGAGGATGAAATTATAAGAAGGAAGAAGCCGCAGGGAAAAGTTATCAATTTACCGATTCCTCCAACCTGGAGTATGCCCAGCCTGTCGTTTGATAGTGAGACTGTCACTAATAAAGCTGCATCCAATACCAATGGTAGTATTTTTTTGTTATTTTTTTAAAGGTTAATCATTCTTTTCTATATTACAGATACTATAGAAACTCCTATTCCTATGGCCAATTTCAGAGAGGCAAATTTAAAAGGTGAGTTGAATAGATAATTAAAAATAACCTAATAAAATAGATTCATGCGGATCAAGTCCTTTTACAGGCCAAATTATGTTCTTTTTATAATGCTCAAAATTCTTTCTTTGCTTTACATGTTTTTGCTGTTATTTTGAAAAAATCTTTTTTGATATCTTCCTGTAGTCTTATCAGTCATATTTAAATTACATACATTTTGGAAACTCCTAGTATTATTAACTCTATTTTTGTAGAAACTGATGTCTCAGCTGTTCACAACTGCAAATGCAATCCAAAAATCCTGTATAACATACAGTCTCTTTTAATTGAGGTGAATGCCAAACTGGATAAATTATCTGCAAACAGCTGTCAACCATCAGTGGAAGGACCATTAGTGCAAAATATTCTCGAAAAAAGTTCTATAGAGCTGCCAGTAGACAGTCCTGAAAAAATAGAACATATGGAAGAATTTTTGGCGTCCGTCGAAAATTACAAATGTTTAGTAAGTAATTTTAATCGTTTTTTTTTCCTAATAATTCATTTTTTAACCTTTTTTTAGGTCATATATTTTGCCAAGATGGGAGGCACTAATTTATACGACTTTGTCAAGAGATGTTTGGCACCAGTCATCTCGGACAAGACCGCAATGACCTATTCTTTTATAGGTAGAAAAGGGAAAAAGAACTTTTCAAGTTTAAAGCTGTCGCAAGCAGTTATTGGTAAATATTATTCTTGTTCAAGTATAAATAATTATAAAGTAATCTGGAAGTCAAAATTTTAAAAATTTGATAGAATCTAGAAAAATAATAAATTTTTTACTACTACAAATCATAAATGTACATTATCAACTACTTGGTTTGATAATAGAGACAGAGAATTTAATCGTGCCCTTTTCTAGTTACAAAAGTGACAATTAAAAGCTCATTGTCTAGATCATTTTAGTCATATTATTATGTTAAAGCATAAACGTGATGATAAATAGTATTCGGGTATCCTCTTATGATTGTTGATCGTAAAGAATAGAAAAAATTACCATGCACTGTTTTTTTTTAGATTCCGCTGAGAGAAGTGGTCTCCAAAAAACTAGAAAAGAGACGGAATATGCTGTAGCCATGTGGCTGCGAAAGGCGAAGGAAAGGTGTTTGAAACGAGCGTGACATGAATTGTATAAGAATTTTTAGCAATAGCAGTATACATTTTTCAAAAGATTTTTTTTTCAATAAAAATGTATATTTTACGAGGAAGCATTATTTATTACCACATATATTTCTGGTATATACTAGGAATGTCTAAAAAAAATACTATGAATGTCCAAAGAACATTCATGGACATTCAAGGAATGTTCTAAGAAGACATTCAGGGAATGTTTAAAATGCTGACACGGGATTTTTCTGGGATGTTCAGGGAATGTTCTTGTCTTTTTGGGGATATTCCAGGAATGTTTTCAATGTCCTGCGTGTACGTTCTAGGAACATACATGGCATATTTTGTGTTATTAGGGAAGTAAAGTAGTATGACCTTTGGTTTATTGTAATCAGCGAAGCAAATTTACGGAAACGATACGAATATGTACGAGTTACGGTTTATGAAATATTTACGTATACGTTCATTGTAAACAAACACTGAGTACAAGCAGTACAAGCCATCATTCTGATTAATGCACTATTATAGTACCTAGTATATTTGGCAATGCATGCAATGAAATTGAATACCTACGTTTTTAGAGATTAAAATGACATACTCGAGCACTGATTGAATGATTCAAGCAAGGTAGTGGGTAGCTATACATTTTCGTTAGTGCTTCAGTAGGTACGTTTCGCTTTGTAGACAATTAATATAAACAAAAGCCGCTAAAATATGCCTTTTTACACAAAGAAAATCGCATAGAGTCGTAGTGCGCCCTGTGCAACATATTACCCAAAGTACGATTATAACCAAAACCAGGTATAGGTACCTGTCCTATTGTAGTACATAGTTGAGTTATGTTGTTATTCTTTAGAAAAAGCCAATTAGACTATTAGATAATAAAGTACAAAACAGTTTAATTTTTGCAATTTTAGCAATAGGGTAAATGGGAGAGAGCTGGATTATATTTTAAATAAAACGTCAGAAATCTTCCCCAGTGGAGGAGATCGGGCCACGAAGTGTAGGAGAGTTGGAGCAAATATGATATTAGCTTTTTTAGCGCATTTTCCAACGAAGTTGGTTGCGCTATCGCAGCCACTTTCTGTGTCCGTCCGTCTGTCCAGTGGCGGATTTACATATAGCACGTGCCTATTAGGGGCGGTATTTTTTGCATTACCTATATTTATTTTAGGTAACATTTTAAGTTTTAAAATAAGTCTCCTAACAAGTTACAAATGACAAAAATGTTTAATTAAAATTATTAAATAAATTGGAATTGGTAGAGATAGTTTCTTTTCATATTAGTTTTAAAAATGTCATGTTATAATTTGATTTTTTTAAAATTTATTGCAATTTAAAGAGTATTTTGGGGCGCATATTTTTCGGTGTTAGGGGCGCAAAAAATTTAAATCCGCCACTGCGTCTGTTCGAGGCCTTAACTACTCCTACAGTTTTCAAGATATTAAGTTCGTTCTTTATGCATCCGGTAGCGTATAGCTCTAGCACCTGAGCCAAGGAAAATCTTGACATTTAAACTGTCAACTTTCTTATTTATTAATACCTATATTTTGTTGAAATTTTAACTACAGATATTTCTGGTGAAGGCAAACATATCGCATATAGTAAAAATCAGACGTGCGCATACGCGAATTGCGCAACGCCAACTTTTTTGTTTATGGAGATATTTCTTTGAAATTTTAACCATATATGCTTCTAATAAAGAAAATCACAGCGCACATAGCTATGGCCTTTTGGGAAGGACTGATCATTCATGGAAAATGCGCTGAAGTTACTCGCCTTAGGGCGAAAACCTTTTTACTTGTTTCTTTGTAATTGAATCCGCAAGCCTGGCATAGTAATTCATAAGTCATACATTCTGTAACCTATAACCACAAGAGACACTAACTGAATCCAGTCTTCTTTCTTTTTCGTTTTCCTGATATCTTTTCTGCTCCCGACACACTCGTTCGTATGCTCGTTCTTTTTCATCTTCAGATTCTGCCAATATAATTTCTCCAGACTAACATCAAAAAGACAATTTCCTTTAATTCTTTTCTGTCGACACCGTATTGTAGTTCTACTGTTGCTATGTCTCTTTTGTTTTTCTCCGTTTTCTTTGCATTTTCCTGAAGACAGAACACCGGATATTTGTCTGCGAATTTTCCTAACCACTGCAGCATGGGTATTTGTGAAACCATATTATATAGAACGTTTCAAGGAGTAATTCAGATCCAGTAACAAATTTTTGCCGTATCTTATTTAATGTTTGATGTACCGGTGAACTAGGTCATGGTTCCATTGGTTCGCTTGGAGTTGTTTGTGATTGTTCAGCGGTAGCCTTTATCGATTCGCTTAGACTTTGCAGTAGAAATGCAAGTCCATTTATCAAACCCGACACTGCATGCTGAACACATGGAATATCGTTTTTTGAATTAAGTGTACTGAACATTATCAGAACTACATAACAATAAAGAAGTTACCGTCTAATTTCAACAGTAGGAAGTCCATATACCTACTGAGAATATTTTACAGTGTTTAAAAAGTAAGTGAAATTTTGTTCTTACGCTTGTGGTGTTTCATGAACAGTAAATTAGTTTTCAGTAGATTTAATTTGGCAGTGTTGGGAAAAGGTAGGATTTAATTTTAGATTTACGGTGCTTGTATTTTTGCTTTCAACAAACATTTTTTCACGTGTGTTTATGAACCCAGTATATTTTTAGTCTCTTGTAATTTGAGCAATAATGATAATTAATTATCATGGTCTGAAAGCTATAGTGTCATCACAAATTTAGATTTATTTGTATTTATTATAAATCATCTACCTTTGATAAATATAAAACCCTTAAATTTCATTAATACTTTGTTTGGTTTCAGGAGACAGGGGAACACCAGTTTAAGGTGAGTCTTTTTCTCATTTTGTGAGATATGCATGGTTTATTTAAAAAAATGTTATTAGTGAATTTTGTGTAAAAATCATGACATCTATTTATATTTTTTATGTTAGATGAAAAACGCAGGGATATTTCACTGTTCCGCGTTTGTAACTCGAGTGCAACCTTTTACTCAAATAGCATGTCGTAACTTTCTAACAAAATTAAGATATATACCAAGGTTTCGATGAAGAATGATGCTCAAATTTGTTGGTGTTTTATTTAGAAAAAGTAAGGTAGGCAGCGATAGTACGAGGGAATGTCATTAAATCAGTCACAAACTGCTGTGGGAAATCTGAAAATAACAGAGAGGCGTATGTTATTAGGTGATAGCACAGTCCAGTTTTAATAATCAACTGCACTGCACTGGGTTCTAATTACGTACTTTTATAATAGTCTAAAGCAGCAGAGACTGTTGACTTATTGATAAGAAGAAATGAAGCATACATTAATTAGTTTGTAATGGAACCGAATTTGTCAGTTAAAATTCGATTTAAATATCCCCAAAGCCGCCTCTGGCCGCAACGAAAGAATTCAAGATTGCGCTTTGTTTCGTTTCCGTGGAACACGGGTTTTTTTCTTCCCTGCCCTACATTCAAATGGGCCATAATTTACAATAAAAATGTCAAACATAACGCTATACGAGGGAAGTAAATGATCCATATCGACCGACGTTGTGGCCGCAATTTTCGTTTAGGATTTGCTCAAAGGGGAAATTTGTGCAGATGTATTTGAACTTTTGTTGAGGGCAGTGTTAATTTTTACATTTTGAATTTTGAATACCTAGTTACTGTTTCGATTGCAATTACTCTGTTGACGTATTCTTTTATCTTTACATTTATTGCATCTATTTAGTAATTATATGATCGTGTTAGATTAATTGCCAAATTGTTCCTAGCGCTGGTTTTACCTGCCAACCCGCAATATGAATTCCTGACAGATTTACGTGTTATTTATTGAGATACAGTATGTTCTCTAGGGATGATGTTCAATACGAGTGTGTAAAATTAAACGACGTAATAGATATTATAGCAATTCGTGGATGGTGCTGTATTTGGAAACATCGACACTACATTGTTAATGTATAATTGAATTTCTTGCAGTACATTTCCTTTCTTTTGCATGAATATGTACAAGGTGCTTCATCTGGGGGCGAGTGACGTACGTTAGGTCGTTGATTGTTACACACTGCTCTTGGCATTGACAATGAATTACTTTATACTAATATTTTGTCACGACATGTTCCTCAACAGAGATTGGACCCCAAAATTAATATGTTCCTTTGTTTTGTTGTAATGTGATACTTAACGTTAATGCTCCTTCTATGTGTTTGAACCGGCTAATTATCATTATTAATATTAGCAGGGTGACTTGTTTCAAATGTGTACTGTGCTATACGTGATACCTTGACGTAGCAGAGCGTAACAAAAGTCCACAACTGACATACGCAGAGATATATGTTTCTATGTACTGTTTTTTTTGTCTTAGAAAAGAGCCATCTTGCCGATATTGCTAATCAATTCAATTCCTTTTCATCACTTCTTTTACACATCATATAGGTTATGTTCGTAGCTACACGTGGAAGGGAAATAAGACTTCATTTTAATACCATACCTTCCCAGGATTAGCTATGACAATTTTGACAAGTTAGTCGTTTAGGTTTACGTGCAGGTGCAGTTCCAATCATAAGGGCTGATTTTTATTGTACTTGCTAAACTTATGTGACAGTCAATTTTCCTAGCAACAAATGTTTCACATTATAAATAACAAACAGAAACCGGCCCTAAATGAGCTAAATAATATGCTTTTGGGGTAATAGAAATCGTGACCTACATCGAGGTTTTCTAAGAAAACGATATTTTTATAACTTCTTCCATTAGTAAGGGATCCATATGCATAACCTACGATTCGTGATAACCGCAAGGGAGTAATTGATAAGTCAATTTTCTTTGTTTTTAAAGACTCTCACGCTATGGTTTTTATACGTACAGTATGTATATAATAAGAAAGAGTCTTATAAGTAGTATCAAAGTCACGTTAGTGTGACAGGCAGTCAACTTTTAACAAGGCCCATTTCGATCAAGTTGCATTCCACACGCTACAAAGCTACTACACGTAATTATTATCCAAATGTAATTATTATATACGGACGCGTGGTCGTAATTATAGTCCTTCCTACCTT